AAATTAATTGCTGGGAAAAGGCATGAGTCACAACCCTGCTTGGATCCCCCTCTACTGGACACTCACCAAGTGCTATGTTTATTCTAAAGTTTCCCAAGTCAGAACAGGCTCTAGCATTACCTCCTCAATCAATTTAAAGAACATGGACCTTACAGTTCAGCTCCCTAAGCCACCCAGGAATACCGGCCTCTATATCCGTCTTTATCTTCCCAATTTGGCAAAGATGTTTGTTGCAAACATCAGGAAGCTATGGGATACTATAAAGTCCAGCTCTCTAATAGAAAGGAATCACACTTGTTCAGCTGTATGCTACCTAGAGGCACCTTGTTTATGATAAGGTTGCAGCTGTTACTCTCCATCTGTTAGTCAAATTCACTGACATTGAAGGTCAACCAAATGTAAAGAGAAACCTCACTGAAGCACAGGTAAAAAATACAGTTCCTGCAGTTGAAACAAAGTCAGGTGCACTCAATATAGCTGGTATTTGAAGGTCAGCCACCTGGAGGAACCCACTACTCAAATACTTGGAAAAAGGGGATACAAGCAAGCAATAAAGAACACATCTTACACACGTTGATGGAGGAAGTCAGCATCCTGTGTGGTACAGTTCTATGCACTCCCCAAACCTTAAGCGTAGGAGCAGCCAAACATCATACTGCTAGCCAACTGGGTTGCTCGCAATGGTAGGCAAGTTAATAAAGGGACACAATACTGAGATTAAAGACTGCAAAGAGAAGTGGAAACCAGAATCTATCGTTATGTATCCAGCCAAATTTTTATTTCCCATTCATCCTGTGTCATCTAGTTTATTCCCTCTGAAGCATGAGATAGAGTTACATACTTCACCGGCACTGTCGATCTCAGAGCCAGCTAGGCCCATGCTGCTGACCCACCTATGGAAATCCTTAGTAGTTTGATTGGGTCCAGGCTCTTCATTACAAAGAGGCCTTTTAAGACATCAAGAAATCAATCATCTGCCTGGTTGCCTTTAATGAAAGCACCGTTACACAGGATAAAAGGGGATGGAGCATGAAACAGTATCCATGGTGGAAGGGCCAAACCAGAAAAGAGGATGTCTGAAGAACAGAATGAAAGACTTGAGAATTAAGTCAAGAAGAGAAACAATAAAACAATAAAGCGGTATGGAAATGAAGCAGGAAGGTATAAACAGGAAAGTTACAAATGGAATGAAAAGCTAAAGTGACTACTTTTCATGAAAGAACAAACACACCTCATTACGACAAAGAGTTAGGAACATATTCCCATGTACTAACTTCCCGTGCAACAATCACTAGTTATTTTAGTGGATTACAGCTGTATGACCGTAAGAAATCATTTCCACATACTGTTGAGGAACTTCAAAAGCAACTAACAAGTCTGAAATCAATCTCTCTTCTCTTAAAAGTTTTACATAGCAAAACGTTGTAAGAACTGCATAAAGTATTTTATATTAACAATAGAGAGGAGTTCAGACTGTAAACTGCTCTAGGCTATGATTCATTCATGGCACTCTGCCAAAAAAATAAATACATTCAAGACCAATGGCCTCAAGGGGAAAGGTAGGCCACTTTTTAAAAAGCACAGAGATAAATGATTTACAGAACGGAATACAGTTTAAGATTTCAGCCTATATGGGTGATGAGGAAGGACTTTCTTACGTCTCACAAAGATTTACTGCACAGACTTGAATACTGGCGATGTATCAACAGATGGAGTAAACTAGGAACTATTAAACTGGGATTTGCAAAACTCTCTCCAAAGAGCAAGAAATGACCCATTATATTGCTATACACAAAGAAAGTTCATAAAGCCAAATCAAAATATGCAATGGGTATTTCAGCCACGTAAGACAAACACGGCCAGTTCAGATTACAGGCAAACTCTGCAGTAAAGTAACACCTGTAAAGTGAAAGACCAATCCACTGGCAGCATGACAAACAGTTTAAAGGTTTGGGAGGGTTTGACGCCATACAGCATCTGCTGCACATAAAAATGTTTAATTAGCTGCTGAACAGCAAGCAGTACATTCCTATTTTTTCTATGAGAACAGTGTTTCTTGAATAAACGCCCTTGCTTAGCTAGCAAGGTTCAGAACGAAGATAGCTGTTTCGCTACGGGAGCTGAGGCCAACTCATTCTCACACATCAGACAGAAGCTGATTACAAGTCAAATGTTTTGAACCACCATTTCAGTAGCAAGCACCCTCTGAAACACCCAAACCACTTCTAAATGTGTCTTACTTTAATATTCAGAACATTATCTTTAACTGTATTGCTAATGGCTTTTAAAAGAAAGCTGCTCTTTTAAATGCTTCCCTAGAATTACAACCGCATTTCATCATTTAAAAAATTATAGATTTAACTGCTGCTCATCCCCAAACTTAGCAGTAGTGAGGAACTAAAGAGAAACACTGATCCTCTTAGGATGCAAGATACCCGCATAGGATATTCTATTTAAAGTTCTGGTACACACACATCTCCAAGGTACCCTCTCTCAATAAAAGGGAAAACAGCCACAACCCCAAAAAACTATCAAAGGGAATGAGCTGTTAGAATCCAGCTTTCACTCACGCTGCAACCATACCCCAGGAGGGGTTCAGCAGTGTCCGACTGTACTGAGACATCACACAGATTTTTTTAAATTTTTTTTATTTCTGTAGATTCAAGCCCAAGCTGTATGTTGCCATTAGTCTCAAAAAGGAATTACATACCTATTTAACAATGGTAGTAATATATGCATTTTAAGTCAAGCATGTGATTAAATGCTCTGCTAGCAAGAATTCTCAACCAGATGTTGGGCAATCTTATGACACATGATCTCTCTCAACCAGTGCTTGAAGCAGTTGTAATTTATGAGCCAGTGGTTTCACATCCTGTGGTGATGTTATTTCACCAGGTTTAAAAGCCCCATCCTCACCTTTTCACGTAAAAAAAAAAGTACACGTTGGTCAGGATGGTTTTGTTCAGTGATACTACTTCCCAGTATGGCTCATGATGTAAAGCTTCACTTAATTGTACTATTACAGGAGGAAGGAATGAGCTCCTTAAAAGGTAGGAGTGTCTAGTTTTGCCACCGCCTATTTTTTTTTTTTAATTTGGTCATATTGCTTATTCCGTGGAGAAGTTTTTGCTCCATCTGTGCACCACAGATGTCCCGTGTCCTCCCCCCCCCCCCCTTTTCAGCTCAGACATTTCTATACAGCAGCTAGGAAAGCCTGCATCCTTGAGGGAATTATGGGAATTAGAAAAATGCAATAGTTATATTTTCATTTACAGACATGAAGAGGAGATATATGAGACAAAATTTGGAGTAACATTTTAGCTGTTAGCCTTAATTATCTGGTAATGTTTTCAGTGCATGGAATAGTTTTCTAACAATCCAGCGTGCAGCAATTGGCATTTTTTAAAAACACAAAACCAACTATATTTTTCTGCTTACAGTATTCATTTTCCAAAAGTTGGCTACAGGAACAGAATTCACCCACGCAGAGAAAAATACAGTTTCAGTAAGAGTGATCTTGCTGAATTTGTCGAGGGTAAATCTTGACCAGTGGTTAGCATCCTCTCCTTTAGAAGGAGTTAAGGCTCACTTAGGCCCTTTCCCACACCGCCTTAGAAGAAAATAAACACGACTACAAAAGAAAGCCCAGAACATATAAAATTCAGTTACATTAAAAATAAATAAATAAATCAAGCAATCGTTCTGCTAACTATTCATGCAGAGGGTTATTTTTCAAATTGTCCTGTTTCCTACAAGGTGTTGATACATTATGTGCTGTCAATTTCCGATTCCAAATTTTTTTTGTATCCCAAGACATTCACAGATGAGGACTCCCTCCCCGCCCTCCCCAATAATACAGTGGACCCTACTAAAAATTTGCTAGCACTAAATTGCTGGTGTAAAAATCAGTCTTTCGTCCATGCTCCTGCCCATATGCAGTTTCCCCTACAGTGTACTTCATTTGGGACAAAAAATAAAAGCTGTTACCTCATTAGATGACTAAACCAGGCAGTTCTGCCAGCACTGCACTTCTTACCTGGTAACTATTTCATTCAAAAGGTCATGACTCCATCCTGAATCTTTTCTCATGCTGTTCATTTGTCCAAAAGCCTTGTATCTGTCGGGGTCTGTTTCTACCACTGGGATCAGTATTCTCTGTTCTTAAGAATTTTCCACCGAGCATACCTAAGTAAGTCAAAATCTGATTTCAGGTTTCTTTTTACTAGAGCTTATGCTGAAATGTAAAAAAATGTATGGCTATTTCAAGCCTTCACTACATATGAAGTTAATTTTAAGGTGGATAGGGTATATTTTGTATAAAAGACTTCTAGATTATCCAGAAAGGAACCTCTTCATGCAAACAAAAAAATCCAGCTAAACCCCAAAGTTAATTTAATTTAAGCAGTGGCTTAAATTCCCTAGCTCCATTCCTTATAATATAAACTTTTCAAATCAGGGTCTTTGGCCTCTTATTAACAGGGACAGAGAACGCTAGTACCATACATACAAACATTCTCTAGCTTAAGTCACTTCTTTTGCAGAATATGCCACTGAAAAATGGATAGTCAGCCTCCTAATATCAGAAAAGGGATGTTTGAGGGGATCTGTCTTACAAATTCTAGATCTATCATCAACAGATTATGCAAAGTGTTAGGAATCTGCCTATAACCTTAGAAAGTTACTATTTCACAGTACTGCTATTTAAAAGAGAAGAAAAAAGGAGGGGGGGGGGGGGGGCGTACAGGGGATGGGACACGATGACATTTATTTCCTGACTCTGGATTCAAACTTTGCCACTTTATATTCAAATATTTTAAAATAATCAGTATTTTAAAGTTCCCCTGTGATTAAAATAAGCCTGAATGAGTCCTATTACATACAATAATATATTCTGTCTTCCTTCTTAAATTTATGCTTTAAACTGCTCCCTGGAAACAGTTAGCAGTCAATTTCATTCCAATTTTTTTTTTTTTTTTTTTTTTTTTTTTTTTGAGATCACTAAATCAAATATAGCTTGAGAGATGGCCCTACTGATCACATAATACACAAGAAAAAAATCAGGAAAGATAGATTTTATTTCCATTTTTTACCTTTAAATTATTTTTATCATTGGCACTCTCACAAATAAAATGATGTGTTCTCTCAATTTCTTTCTATTAAGAAAAACATCCAAAATTAGCAAACCCACCTGACTCAGTGCAAAAAATATTCAATTTACAACAGATGCTCCAAATCTATTGTGTCACACATGAATACTGTCAGAAATGTCCATTCTTTAATGGCATGATTAATGTAACATGTTATGTAAAAGTCCAATTTTCTTTAGTTTAGCTAATTTAATTAAGCAAAGGAGAACAAGTTTTATCTTTGTGGACAGTATTTTCAGGAAAAAAAATAATAATCAAAGACTCAAACAATAAGTACTTTTGCTTATAGAACTTCCAACTTCAAAGCACTTAGATAGAATCTTCTGCCAAACACCACATACTTCATTAATCTGCAGAAGTAGGTCCTGAAGGTTAGTGCAAGTATGACTGTCCTTCCAACTGTGACACTTTTGACAATGCTTAGCTATGAGTTGGGCAGTTGTCATCTCAGTCTCATGAAAGGAACATAACAATTTTTATGGAAGGATCTGATACCTGACAAGCTTCTCATTTCAAACACACTTTCCCAGACTGAAAGTCATTGTCAAAATTGTTGGATTCAGAACGTCACACATCTGAGAAAAAATTTACTTTTTTTATGAAGTCTACCCTGCAGAAGCACCCAGTAAGCATCTTCAGAAGAATTCTAAGGATGAACTTGTAAGTGCAGAAATAATGTATTTCAAGAGGACAGTTTCATACCTCCTTAAAACTCAATGGACTCTCCAGTTCCATAAGTCCCCGACAGAACTAAAATTGTGACAGTGAATATTTAGAAAGAGCCTGGGGGTATTTTGGAAAATAAAGCTAGCAATACATAGAAAATGAGTGGCTTTAGTTTTTAATCCATACATACAATCAATCCTTTTCACTCAGGGTTTCAAAATCTAAGCTATAGTATACAGGAAAATTCATTTCAGTACTTGCACAGTGTAATTCCTTTGCCCTATTACCATAGAATCTTCCCCCACTAACAAAAGTTTCTATTTTAGTAGTAAAAATGGGCATGTAAATTATTAGAACAGACTTCTTAAATGCACTTTAATCTTCTCAAGCAGGCAAAGCAACATCTGCAAAATATTCAGAGAGAAAGTACCATTTATTTACCCATACACAGTATGTCAAGACTCAAGATGTCTTCCTTAACCATCCCTTTGTCATTTTATATAATTTCTTCATACTGTAAGTTATAGATTTCTTTGCCCCTAAAAAAAAAAAACAAACACAAAACCCAGAAAATATCAACATTTAGAAAGGCTAACTCAAATACTAGGTTCTTACTACATTAAGTAAAACATTTCCCTGGTAGAACGACAACCTAATCTGTCAGGCAGACATGCAAATAACCTTGTCACATTCATAACACAGTAAATAATTACACAAAAAAAAATACTTTTAAGATTATCAAAGCATGCAAAATAGGACCAGTTTATTCTGAAGGCCTGACAATGTTGCATACAAGCACATATAGACAATGACCAAGATATAGCAAATGCAGAGATTCATGATAAAACTTTTAACCGGTGCAGAGGGAAACTTCTAATTTACATAATTGTTCCTAAATGCTAAATATAGGAAGGCTTTTAAACCATCTGTGTCTACTGCAGACCCACACCAAGCCAGTACATTATGCTGTTCAAGCCCTTGCTGATCTACTGTTAGGTAGCGTGTCCAGCTGAGTAGGATTGTACTCTGGCCTGGTAATGGACACCCGCAACCTGACAGACTATATTCTGCAGCAGGACACTCGAGCAGGACTATTTAGAGAAATCCAGGGTGTTAGGCACACAGGTTAATTAGCTGGCCACATCTGTGAGAGAATCTAGTTGTAGAAGCATTTCAGCTCTTGAGACAGGAGCCCACCACCAGATTCTGTAGATAAGATGATGCCTAATATCAAGAACCACAGTTATGCTCAAAGCTGCGCAGCCGAATTTTACTGAAGGGATAAAGGGGAAGAAGAGAGAGGGGGGTGAACCAGAACAAAAGAACAGTCTGCTCAAGCAAGACAAGCAAACTCTGCATGACTGGTAGACAACAAGCTTTATACTTCCAAACCCTACTTTACCAATTTCTTCTGCTAATCAGATTTTAGTTAGCCTCGCTTGATGCTATACATCAGGCACTTGGTTGCCTTGTTGTAGACCAATTCTACAAAGTTAGAATTATGAAGCACCACGCTGATGCCCATCTTGATTAAATGTAATCAAACGCTGCACACCACCAGCAGCTTTCCAGGACAAACCAACACAGAGCATTGCTATTCAAAGGCTCGTGAATTAAAAATGAAAACAGAGAATTGTTTGTTTCATAAGAAACGTGCTGCCAGTCGTTGGGGTGGAAATCTGTTCTGGTTTCAACAAGTTGTAAAGTACATTATAACCTCCTTGAATATTCTGTTATTGCCTCATCCTAACTCATGGCAGCTACCATTTCATAACTGAGAGAATAGCACATCTGCAAGAGAATAAAACTGCTCAACTTGCATAATGAAATGACATCTGTGTCCTTAGGTAAAAAAGGTGATACTGAAATGATGATGGGTATGGAAAACCAGATTAATGGAAAACCAGATTAATAAGGCATATACCCAGGTGAACTGAAAGAAGCAAAAATAACAAGATAATGACAAACAGCTATAATTTGGCAACACTGCCAATATCAGAAGTATACCATGGACACCAGTGTGAATGCCCTGTCGCAGGGATGTTGTCTGGACCAATTTTTCTTCAGTGTAAATTTGTAAAGTGCACCCTTAAACACTTTCTGAAGTTCTACCAGAAATGAGCCTTCTCTTACAGACCTAGAGTAAAAAAAGACACAGCCTTTTGCTGGGTTTAGTCATCTAGTATTTGCAAACTTAAAAACAAAATATTGTTAGTCTTGGCATTTCAGCAGGGTTCCGAGATCCTAGACAGTGGAGCTACTTATTTTTCCTCCTTCCAGCTTTTTTTGATTAAAAAACCACCCCAAAACAAACAAAAAAAAACCCCAACATAAAACACAAAGTGACTTTTCAGATTACAACAGTCTAATCACACCCTTACAAATTCAAAACTGAAAAGGCAAGTTTTTAACGCTGCACAAAGCCTTTAATTTTGACACTTACATGCACAGATTAAAAAGTATGGTACCTTGTACGTACTACAATCTTCCTTATGTTTATTTAATAGAACACTGTTTACCTGACAAGATTGACTAAAAGTGCACAGAAGCAATTTAGCCAAAAGTCACACAGTAAGACACACCAGAACACAAGGAAAGATCTGGAACAAATGAGCAACTTAGACCCAGGTTTAGCCATCTACTGCACTGGACTTTTTTTGGGGGGAAAAAAAAAAGGGGTAGGATAATATTTGATTTTGAAAAGACCTTAGAAAGTAATCAAATGAAGATAAAATACTTTAAGTGAAAGATGCATTCAGTATTAGCAGTCTAGAGTCACCAGAAGTCAAACGAGTATGCAGTAATAAGGAAAAGTGCATGCTCTATTTCTGAAGGAGTGTGATGGAGAGTAAAAAGCCTGTCATAACAAATATGCTGTATATAATCACTTTTCCACTTCTTGTGTCTCTAATTGCAATTTAAATAAACCCAACTTTACCTTTTGTAAGGAGTCATCCATACATATATTTTCAAATTTCAAAACCATGTGCATCCCATATGTAAGCACAAACTTTTCTATGTTTAATAGGTTTTTGCTAAAAGCAAACACACTAATGAAGTCACGATGGGCTTTTCCTTGCAGCATCTCAAGTAACAAGTAAATAATCATGTAAATTCTGAAGCGCCTCACATATCTGCATTAAAAATGCACACAGTGTAAGAATTCCAGTTGCAGAACAAAGCCAGACTGAGCTCGGGCATAGCACATAAATGAAAGAAGTGGTTCCAATCTCCAAAGTTAAAACTATGTAACTGTACGGCTTTGAAAACTACTGTCCAATCTCCTAGGTTGGATACTTCCAGGATACAGCCCCTCGAATACTGAACTTGCTCTGCCAGAATCGATGCTGTTCTGCCATTCCAATGAAGTCAGTGTACTTCTGGAAGCACGCTATAGCATGTGGCAAATCAACAGGAACACAGCTGATGCAGCCCTGCAGGACTGTAATTAACTGCGCTGGCACAGCAACCTGCAAGTCAGCTTGTTCTATCAGCTCGCCAACCTACTCTGCCTCTTGCAGCAGCTCAACATAAAGAGGTTTTTCTCCTTCATATTTTCCCCCTGCAGGGAGCACTCTACTGAACTCCACCCACTAGAGCCTTATGTAATAAGATGCTTACATTTCTGCCCTAGCACATCATGCTACAAAGCAAAATACAGGTTTATACGTACAGCTGGTTTCTTAAAGCAGCCCTCAGGGTGATGAGTCACATCTGTAGTAAAAGTTAATGGTTGTAATTATGGCTCAGGCTTAGAATCTGAAGCAGTTGGACCACATGAAAATGTCTTTCTACTTTAGCTATGAATCTATGACTTGGTGGTTCCACCTCCCCTTTAGATTTTTCCACTATACGATACAGAACAAAGACCTAATGCACATGGAATCAAGACCACAAGATTTCAGTGTAAACATAAGTTGTATCTGGTTTTACTTAAAGATCCATGTTCGGTTTTTTGGAAGTGTTAGTGTTGTAAGATAGTAATTTGGCTATAATAGAAGTCCCCCAAAGTTTCCCAGTAGATATGCCTGGCTGTAGTATTCTTTATTTCCTTTTGAAAAGAAAGACTAATGCATATACTGCTGAAGAGCTGTCATGTGGAGGCAAATAGTTATATATTGTTAGTGTACCATGCACAGACACATGCAAACTTTTTACACATATTTACAGTGAAGTGCAGTGGTATGCAGATTCTGCTCAGGCAGCTGATGAAGACAGCAATTATCACAAATCTACAGAATATTTTATATGTAAAGCTTTTCTTTATAGGCTGTTCCTTATAGTTAAAAAAAAAAGATTCCTTGAACACATACTACACTAATATCCCAATTCTAAGCAAACAAATGTTATTCAGAGCAGCTACAAGCATTTGTGCTAACTTAAAAGTATCTTGAACAATTGCTTCAACTGATGAGGTAATTCATAGTATTTTATTTATTTATAAAATTTTCAAGGCTTGCAGCATTCCTCTAGTAAGATATAAAGAAGAAATCTAAGCTAAAGAAGTATCGACATCTCCTTCAGAGGAGCTAAACATAAGAACTTCAGAGTTAGTTCCCAAAGACCATGCAGACTCTGGCTATGTGGGAAAATAAATCAAATGATGGTGCCATCTCTAATGGGAAACAGAGAGGCAATCTCACCACAGACTCAAAGAAATACATAGGCACATTTTCAAAAACTAAATAGGGCATTTAACAACAAACAAAAACATAGAGCTTGAACTTAACTTTAAAACCACATAGCCAGAGAAAGATTAAAAAAGTTCTCCTAAATGGGTTGAAATTCTTTATTTTGCTTGTGCTCCTTGCCAATAATTTTAATACACAGCGTGCCATCCCAGCAACAACTAGTCCCTATTTAACATTTAATTTAGAAACATGCTGCACATTGGACTACCATGCTACAGACCAGAGAGCAGGCATTTTGCTTTTTGTTGTTGTTGTTAAGATAAAACAACCAGCTAAGGAAATAATTGTGTGTCCCCCATTACATTTCAAAAAGAATGATGGCCATGTAACGAAAACTAATTCTTTTGCAAGCAGACATAGGACAAAAGTACTTGTATAGTTACCAGGAACAGCAAGAAAAAATAGCCACAGCTTATTTAATGGAGCCACTGATCTAATGAATCTTTCATAATTCTCTTATTTTAGCTACTATTCTTAACATAAGCACTGCAGAAGGACAAAGCCATAATACTTTTCCTAAAGTCCCTAGTAGAAAGTGTGAAAATAGGTCTTAGGGGAACAGAACATTAGACAATATTTGGTTAAAGAACGAAGAAAGAAATACAGCATCCTTAGGGATTAAATTTAAAAGCTCAACACTTTCCTGTAATACACATTGCTTGCATGAGTCAAGCAAAGACTTTCAATGTAGGAGCCACAATGTTTTGTCTGTGTACAAAGTGTATCTACACGAATATTAGCTGATAAAAGCCCCAAGAAATGGCAAAGCAAGGTGAACAGCATTAATGCCTGCCCTCTAGTGACAAATTTTTTAAATTAAGAAACTGTGATTGGGAGAAAATCTTCATTAGGAGATACAACAAGATTTCACATAAACTCAATCAGAAATGTTTGGAGAGAAATATCTTTTAAAAAACAGGCAAAAGGCTTCTACTAACTAACTCGTAAACCCATGGAAACCCATCCCTCCTAAATTCCAGGGAAGATCACTGAAGATCATACAAACATCACATCTGAAAAATACTGAGGTCACACCCCTGGTCAGTTAAATTTAATTTTTTTCTTTAATGTGCACTACAATGTAGGTTTTTATTACAAAAATACTATTTCTGTGCTTCTGTCCCTCTTCAGTGCGCAAAACTGGTGGTGCTCTGGTAAGGCCCACACACAGGCTTGTCGGGAAGCAGGGCTATGCCTACATTAGCATGTGCAGCAACACTCATTTTATGTGCAGCGGCACACGTTACAGACACACTCCTGATCCTAACTGAAGCAGCAGGACTCCCATTCTCCAGCCAGGGTGGCCTGCACAGCAATGCTCAGGAAGGTTAGTTAGCTCTACAGGCAAGCTTTGCATTCATTAAACAACATTCAGAGGTTAGGAAATGCCAGAAACGGTCCTTTTCCAAATCTAACTCATTTCCCTCAGCACATAATCTGTGAGTAACCCCAAAAGATCAATCCTGAATTCTGTTGCTAATGGTTTTGGGTAGATTCTGGCAGCACTGCATAAATGCGGTTAAAATAAAACAAACTAAAAGTAAGAAAACTAAACACTCCCAAGCCTCCTTGCTCAAATTTGGCTTGTGTTTGAGGCAAAGGATCACAATTGCTTTGCTCTACCTGAAATCCAACTGCAAAAAATGCCTTTTCAACACTAAAAGCACCAGTAGAAAATACATGTTTTTATATATAAGTGTTACTCTGTGTAACTGGCTGGTTAGAAGACAACTAGGGTTTGTTTTAAAAGGGGGAAAAAAAAAAAGCCACTATATATAAACCAAAAAGCAGTTAAGACAAAGCAAAGAAAAGGCATTTCACAAATACCTAGTTTCAGGTGCACAAAACAGGAAACAGGTAAAAATTACAAGTCCTACTCAAAGATGCATTATGACCCCCCAAAGGTCCTAGTAACAATACAGGCTGTAAGTCATTTACTGCGTGACACACAAAAGGAGCTAACAATTCCCAGAGGTGATGTTCTGTCTATCAGAACAGACAGAAGGGGAGCATAAATAATCTGACAAAACTTAACTGTTTTTATTCATACTCTTGCAGTTATGCACAAACAGCTTTGCTCCACGCGTCAGTCAGGCTGCTAACTTTCACAAGCACTGAATTCAACACGATAACGTCGTCTTTGAACCCTGCCCTCCCATTATTTTGCTCTACAAAATCTACTCTCCACAGATTTAGAAACAGATAGATACAAGCTGGTATTTCTAAAAGAGGCATGTTACAATACAAGAAGCCTTGACCACCAGCAGGTAATTTTGGCAACAAACCCTAGAAGAAAAACGTCACCTATTTGGTTGGAAACCTTACATTAGAAACTAATACTTGCGATATGCCTAACTCAAATAAAACAAAAAATTGCTTTCCTCAGATAGAGTTATGTCCTCAGTCTCCTCCAGCTACTAAACAAAGTTAGGCAATAGTTTTGTCAGACTTCTTCCAATTAATAGAACCAGACTATTAACAGAAGCATATAAAAAGTACAACTGTTCCTGCTTATTTTACTCAGCAGACCACTAACGGTCCTGAACACTGCAACTTGTGTTTCTTTACAAGGAGGTAGGAAGTATAACATGGAGCCACCAACTTTAACACTCAATGGGAAGGGAAGAGCAGCTGTAGAAGTCTGGATAAGGACTGCTCAGTAGGAAACTATACAGCTGCTTTTAAAACCTGTCATGGCATCATTTGTACATAATTGCTTTTGTGGAAGAATTAGGAATAGCTATGAATGAGTTCAGAAAAATATCTGAGCACCCTCATGCAAGCAGCAAGGATTTTTCACTTTGCAGGAACTGAGTCTATCTCCTGATCAGAGTTTTAACTAAATGAAGGCTCAGGTCTTAAGTCTTTCTTTTAAATCGAGCTGCAGTGCTTTCAGCTTTTTAAAATGTAAAAATCAGGTCAGCTTAAAATTAGATTTATTCTGGAACTCAGAAAACAGGATGAAGCTCCAGCTATGTAATTGGCAGTAACTTTCATTCAGGTATGAAGACTTTGATAGCTGAAAAGCATCCCTAGTTTTCCCATGTTTCTACATGAGCAAGTCCTTTTTTTCCCTTCTACACATTCTCTCGCATTGACTTTGTAATACTCAACTCTTTTTCTAAAATAATTAATTTTGAAGTATGAGTGTTACAGTAATATCCATATTACATAATGTTTGGAATACATTGTGTCTTCAAATACACACCTGTCTTCTGAGCCTGACAAAAATATTGGATCCTGTCAAAGTTCTCTCCCTCAAAATTCATCCCCTCCTTTATTTTATGATGAAATAACCTTATAGTCTACATAACACACCAATAATATGTACTGATCATCTAGGGATCCACTCATGTAGAAAGCCAGAGCGAATTACAATTCTTTTTTCATTTTTTAATACAAAAAGAGCAGAACTAGTGCACATCAGCCAAATCTGACCCACATATAAAATGAAATTGAAGTCAGAAGTTGGTTTTTTTGTTACTTTTGCGTTATTGGGGTTTTTTGTTTGTTTAAGAGTCATATAGACTCCAATTCCTTTTGGCATTTTACAATTTCTCAATAGTTATATAAAGCTTCTGCTTTAAATATTACTTTTGTTTTCCAGGGGCTTTCAATTAGACACGCAAAAAGTTTATTCTTTAAACTCTTATAACAAGACAGTCTTAGGGCCCTATAATTTTTACTTTGCAAAATCGGAAGGCCTATGTTGATAGAAATCACACGCATTCTTACCAGCTGTTAGTATGGTTTTAGCACTCTGCACTATACTGGAAGATCTCACAATTCCTGAAATGCCTGCAGATAGAAAAGCACACAGATGTTACTCATCTTAGCAGTTTTGTGGGGATTTTTTTATCCTCCAACATACACAGAAAAGTTAAATATTTTTCCAGTTATACAATCAAGCCAGCCTGAAAGTAAAACATACACTTAAGCTGAGAAAGTCTGTTTCTGTTCTGCTTTGTCATACTAACTGAAAATATTCTCTAAGCTATTTTATATTATTTTACATGTAACATATTAAAAAAAACCAAATCAATATTAAAACACATAACAACCAGTAGGAATTGATCAAATTAATTCATTTAGTGTTCCCATTATTTCTCTACTAAGATGATTAGTCACAAAGGATTCAGAGTTGTTTCATTTAAGTGCTGGCATACTAACTTTCTAGAGCAGAACAAATTATACTCATTGTTTACTTCAATATGAAATTGGGATTTTGCACATTTGGGATCAAGTAGAGATGCCTATATTGTGCAGTGTTTGTCTGGCTTTTTTAAATTATCAGCTTTTGGAGATAAGGCTTGTTTACCACTTTGCACTGTGGCACATTCAGTTCTCACTGTCCAGGTATTAATGGAATAGCAAGTAAGTAAAACATTGAAACTTTTTTTGAGAAGTACTAAGTTTTATCTGTTCTAACACATACATATAAAAGCATACTCATATGTGCAGAACAAAACTACTGTACATTACTAAATACTTAAAAATGTAGAAATGCAGCAGTCCCAGAGTTAGTCTTCCAAACTGAAAGTTACTCTTCTGCGTTAACCAGCATGTAGAGTATAATTTCAAATATTACTTTAAAATCCTTCTTTCAAAGCTATTTCTATAATGAAGAACAAAGCTTAGGGAAATCCATGAATAAGTAAGAGGGATAACAACATTCCACCGGAAAATAATTTGGGGGGGTAGCGGTGGGGAGGGGAAGGCAACAAATCATGTTGAGCTAGTAAAATACCTAGGGACAACGCAGTTCAACTTGAGTAATCAGCTTTGTCTTGTAGGATTACCAAATGGCTCGTCCTGTCCTTTACCCAGATTCTTGAATTAGGAAAACCTTTCAGCCACGAAAGTGAAAGAGGGGTCTTGATTTGTTCTCCTAAGAGTATAAACTGCTTGGCTTGAGAAGACTAGATCTATCCAGTGCTTTGATACTGAACTGCTGCACCACTGTGCACAGTCCAGAGTCACAGCCGTGCCTGCAATACCCTACATAAATACAACAAGGATAGTTAGCTCAGGGTGCACAACTCGGAGCTCTCAAACTACATGCAGATCACAACCTCTGCAACTCCTGCTCCCAGATTCAGCTACTACCACATTACTGTTGCAGTCCAGCCATAGTAGCATAGAAGCTGCCATAGACTGACATGAAAGAAGCTGGACACCTTGATGTCCAGGTGCAATTCATCCTATACTGTCAACAGAGAACTGCAACTCTCAGGAGCTTTATCTTCCCCAAACAGAAATCAGCGTAAGAGCTCCCTCAGCAGTTGGCTAGTGTCTAGTGGCTCTCAGGCATCTAGGCAGTTTTTGCTGTGCTCAAGGAGTTTGCAAAATTGGCCACCTGGAACTAAGATGTGTCAAGTTCTTTAAAGATGTAAAGGACTCTTCAAGTACTAAACATTTTCGTTTTTCTGCAGAATAATAAAACATTGATGTCTGCAGCATAAGCTTTAACTTGCTCATACAACATTATCTTGCCTCAGAGAAGATATCTGTAATGATGAGAAACACCTCAACCTTTTTCCTCAAAGCCCGAGTTCTCTGCCAGAGCTCACGTATCTGAAATAGCTATGAAAACTAGGAAAGGCAATGCCAGCAAGCTAGAAAATTAACTTAGCTCTGCAGTGTATGACTGGTAGGACATATAGCTCAGTATTTAGATGAAGTTATGCCAGCCAATGAAATCTTGAAGATGTAAGCATCCCAAACAGAGTTAGATGGTCTAAGTAGGCCACACTAATTCCTAAAGACTACTTCTTTCAGAATCCAAAACAGAACGTATCTTTCTGTATCAGTAGGAATGCTATTTGCTAGCATTTCAGAGAATCTGTTTGCAATCAAACAAATCCAAAACCATGCTTTTAGGAATGTATCTCAAGACTAACTTCTTGTTTTCTTCTCCCTTCTCTCTAAATCATCTTCTGAACGAGAACATGTACAATAAATCTGTGTATATATCATGTCTTAAAGGAGATTACAGACACAGATCTAGGCGTACCTTGATGCACCACAAATCCACAGTCAGGGTCATGGGCAACTTGCAGTAAAATTTCTTCCACATCTCTGTTTTTTCCAGGAGGGTCTACCAGAGAAGTTATCTTTTGTTGCAGAGTCCTTGGCAAGGCCATTAGTTGTGTAAATTGACCTTCTGGACTTTTATCAATCTGAACATTACAAAAAATAAGACAGTAGAAACATTCAGTGTTAATAAAGTAAGTTCTCTTTTCAAAGAAGTCAGAAAAGTCTTTTGGCTATCTTTGACCTCTGATAAATATCTCAAAGAACACAATCCATTTCACTTGTAAAAGTCACTGACAATGCTAATGAAAACTTCCCAAGCACTGGGAAATGCAGTATCTCAGTTCTGAACCTGAAGAATAACTCAATGCAAAGATGTTCATTTTTATCCAAGGGAAGACTAATATACACACGATCTTGCTGCCTCTGCACTGAAACTGTATCATTTCTGCTCTACCCAATTTCCTTTGGAAACAGAAGTACACTGTAATGAAAAAAAAAAAGTTCCCAAAAGACCACTTAGCTCAGTTTCTTCTGCCTGAACATAATCAAACCATATACACACACATTTCAAGTTAGTTTGAAAAACATTTTCTCTGCTTTAAACTCAAACCACATCTGGTTTGTATAATTTGAAGGAAACACTCATTCCACGTTTTCCAATCTAAATCAGAAATTCAGTGACCCTTTTTTGCATACAGTGATACCAACATGCAGGCCTGTACACATTTATACAAAATGTAAGCACAAATACTGAAAAACGCGTAATAGAGCAGATCTCTCCGAAACTGGAGGAAAATATGAAGAGCTCGATTCCTCCCACACAACTTTTTAGACAGTTCATGGAGACATCAGACAGGAGTCTAGTTGCCCTATACACTCCCTTTAGTCAATGGGGAGAAAATGATATCCAGATGAATCACCCACTGACTACAGAGGAAGCCGACAATGAGCAGGCTCTTAACATTATGTGGGAGGAATCCATGCCTGAACCAGAACTATAAGAACTAGTGTCTGCCTTCAATTGTTTTTGAGCAATCTTTTATGAAAGAATTTTCTCTGTAACTCTGAACACATATCCTTGGAGAAGGGGTTACTATTCTGTGTTAAACAACACTCCCGATAGCAGTTATCCTCTTCAATCTGGGGAGTAACTGCCAATAACCAGACCAAGGTATGAGGAATACATTATTAAAGCACTTTGCTCAAAACCAACAGTAAAATGATGGCATTTAATCAACAGCCTCAATGACTATTATGGAATTACGGACAGATTTATTATCCAACAACATATTTGTAGTATGCTACCAGGATTTGTTTAAAGGTAACACAACAGGGAGTATTACTCTAACCAGCCATTTTCTTGGAGAAAGCATTACGGATTCTTTTCAAAATTAATTTAAATACTTCTTCCACTAAACTGTTCAAAAGCACATTGATAAGAAAACATGGAGACAGCTGCAGTATAATACAGATTTGCCTATGTTGTACTCCAAAGCGTTGCAGTAGAATTGTTTACTGTACTCAAGCTTGCTTCAGTTCCTAACAAAGACACATCCTAAAAGGAGGCATTCGTGAGATAATTACCACGGTGACTTAAGGATAAAGAGATACCCATGTCATGAAATAACCCATGCTACTTGTAACTTCATGTTGAAATGTATATCACACTTGAATTTTCACACACGGACATGCATACTACAGGAGGAAAAATTGCTATTGGACCCTTGACTGTGGCACCTCTCCCCTAATTGCAATGTTACACTTGTGCCAGAAAGATGGAATTCAAGATACTGGTCATTTTGGATACCCGTTTCCCAAATACTAGGGAAAAATTGTTTTAGTATGGGTATTTAAAGATAATGCCAGAATTTCATTTGGGTTTAGTCAACTTCATAACTAGCACTCTAGGGGTTTTTTGTGGGATGCAGTTTTTGATCGCAGAAAGTTGCACCTCTGAGTTACGACCTAATCTTTTTAACACAAACCATATGTTTATTCATCACTTCCTAGACCGTTGTTTCCATATGGTAGTCATTAGAACACAAGTTTTAAAATTGTCTTCTCTTGTTCCCTTGCTAGGGCTCTAGTTCTGTGCCCATACTCAAAGAAAATGAACAGTAGTTACTACATACGCAGAGACTGGTATTTAAGGCAAGTCTTCTGGTTGCAGAATTAACTAAACAACAGAAACATAACAAAGAGCAAGCACAGTGACTAAAACTGCTCGCCTTAGCGTATGGCATAATTCTTGCCTTCTGTCAATGCGATAAAGCATTTCCACTTGCTGGTTTTAAAAATGTTTTGAAGAAGAACACTTGCCTCTAGCCTTCCCAGATGGTGCTTGTATACCACTTGAGGGCAGTCCTGTAATATGTTACTGTACAGCTTCTGAAAATGGAGAACATTAGGTTTCACTATGTTCTGCACTTTCGATCTGTCTTCTCCTATTATCATTCTGAAATCACCTAGTCAAGAGAAGAAAAACAGTTAATTAGGAAGAAACTGAAAACTCAAAGGAGAATATAACAGAAACCAACATAGTACAAAGCTGTCATCTAAAACTTTATTCTCCAATTCTACCAATGCCTATATAATCCATAATAAAGTTCACCTTCTAATAGTCAAAAAATACTATTCAAATACCTTCAAGCATGGAAAATAAGATTCAGAATTGTTATGTGGCCTCTGATATGCCATGTCATCAACCCATGTGTTCACGTTTTCACTCGGGCAACAAAAAAATTCCAGCTGTCACGCTCAGCCTCGAAAGTCGCAGTAACACAGTTACATTCTTTGCAACCATACATCAGCTTCAACAGATTACTAAACAGATTGATCAGCCCCGATACTTTGTATCCAGAAACAACCTTAAATTTTCCAATATTGAAAGAAAATAATTTGCACTGTCTCTGCACTTCAAGGGCAGCACCTGAAGTACAGCTAATGGCAGTCACTGATCATAAGATCACAGTATCACCTTTTCCTCTTAGCCACATATTTTGTTAGCAGTTTCAAAAAGCAACTCCTTTTAACACCACTGTTAAATTACTGACCTTTACACTTTCTTTTATGATACATGACTGAAAAGTTTCAAAAGACAGTAAGTGAAAAAGACAGTCAGTCAGTAATAGAGTGTTCATCTACCTTTATTAGGTACTACCCTGGTAGCTTCCAGGGTTACCAGCCAGGAGTTAGATGCTCAGTGCAGCACATATCAACAAACAAAATCCTGAATCAATTCATTTTCCCACTTCCCACGTTCAGGAGATAAATGTTGTTGCAAGGTGGCAACTCGCTAGCATTACTTAGTTTATTTCAATTTATGCCAAGCTGCAAAACAAACACTTCCCATATAAATGGTACTGACTCACTGCTCCCAAAAAAATCCATAAAAAAATAAAAGGATAAACATTTTCCAAATTAAAGTATAAACAACTCTTTTCAGCAGTCTCCAAGGAGACTGATCAGAGTAACACATAAAATCAATTTTGTCTACTAGTATACCCTCTGAAAAGTTTAAGACTTAACAAAATGACAGCAAAATAAAATATTCACAAACGTGTCAATGACAGCCTTTTTCTTGAACATTCCCAACTGGGAGTCGTACTGCTTTAGCTTTGTTCACACAGCAGAGCCAATTTCAGCATCGTACAGCATGGTAATTGATCTCCCATGTTTTTGGTTAATCGCAGTATTTCAAAGGACATATAAAAAAAGTACCTTGGTCTCTGGTGCTTACCAAGAATCTAATGACATTCCTGGACAGGTTTCTGGTGGGCAGGTATGCAGCCCTGTGGCAAACATCCCTGGTTAGGAACCCTTAGCCATCCCACTGTCAATACCCTCTTTACTGTCACTTTCAAACAGGTAACGACTCAGAAAAAACTGCGAAGGAAAAGCTGAACAAATTGCAGTCTAAACTGACCAGAGGAGTACTACGTAAGGGACAGTAACACTCCTCAGTAGAACCAAGCTGCAGCTTATAAACCCTACCTGCCTACCTGTGCTTTTTTTTTTTTAAAGCCAAACTTGCATTTCTATATGAGCAAAGAAAGTGCTGTGTAAAGTACAACTCCAACCAAACTTGTCCATAGTGATTTCATGAAGGATATCAACATTTAAAGTGCAATGCCAAATTAAATTGTAACAATTAAATCTTGTATTGAAGAGTCATTTGGAGTAATTTCTTAAATTTTTTTCCATACCAATTCATACCAATTTCATAACTAAAGAGAGGAGGAAATTCTCTTACCAAAAAAAAGTCAATAAATAACTACCAGGAGGTGAGCATTAAATGTACATTGAAGAATCATAATCTGGATCTTTACGTTAACTAAAAAAGAACCTTAAACACAGCACATTCAAAAAGTAAGAGATAACAAAGCATGGGTCAGACTATCAGATGAATCAACATTACACTGAGAGTGAAAAGAAAATTTTTTTTCCAAAGTTTTGAACCATTAAAACCAAAATACAATCCATACAGAGAAAACACGTTATTTCACCATCTTCAATCACCCATACTTGCTGTTCATAAATCAAAAAGGTACAAGAAGTTTTGCTTATGTACCTATATCTATTTTCTGTGAATAAGCACAATTAGTCTTTCCAATCTGTTACATAACACAGCAGTAAAATATAGTTACTGGAGCATGCAACAGTGTAGGCCCAAAGCAAGAGAGCAGATGACTTATTATACATTAGACGTCCTACTGTGGTACAACAGCTCCAACTACAGCTTTTTTCCTCAAACACTTTGAACATCATATACTAACCAGAATAGGAGAGTCCTGCAATCTGCATATAGAGGTCTTCTTCAGAGAAACTTTCTGGTAACATGAGAAAGGCTGCTGTGACTGCACTCTTCAGATTGCTAACAAGAGCAGCTTGCAGCTTGCTATTCTCATTCTGTGTCAGTATTTTCACCTGAAAAAGCAGAGTCATTGGAAGCAAGACTTCAGGAAAGTGCTACTGAAGATGGAGCTAGAAATGTTACTCAATCCAATGTGAAAAATAAATAAGAAATTTATGTAAGATTAGATCCTATTATTATGGTACAATAAAGACTAGAGTGTCCCTTTTTGTTTACACACTGGGAGAGAGAGGAACGTCTTTTTTAAGAATTAACAGCCTGCTACAAAAGGCTGTTTTTACAAACATGTTCAGAATTGCTATAAGCAACAGCCATTAGCTAATCTCTGAAGAGCTATTCACCTTTTCAGATTCATGAATTTAGGATTAATCAAAACAGTAAATATGAATGCATTAGCAGATGGTAGAATAGCACAGTATTAGAAATACTTCATGTGTGATTATGCAACAAGACAAAAAGACCACCGTCACACTGAAAGACAATGGAATACCAGAAAAAGAGGTAAGTTTTCCTATTAATCTTAATTCTATTTTTTCTTTCTAATAGAGGATTCCTCTATCATATGCTTCAAGTAGTTTCTGAGATATTAGTTGTCCTCCTAGAAGAAGCAGGGATTTATTTTGCACTTTGTACGAGCAGAGTGTGAACTCAATGGGAACTTCACATATACATGAAGAACAGATCACTGAAGTTGAGTGCTTCTACGTGCCACAGAGAAGTTTATTTTTAGGGAACATTCAAACTGTTCAAGACCAACCACAGAATCCAGTCACCTAGGATATGGAAATATACTGGAGTAAAAGAGCAGATCTTCAGTAAGAACTTAATATAGAAACATATTATTACAGAACATTAGACAGATGAAGTCAGCGTAGTTTACAAGATGGCCAACTAAGCTCTTTCAGAAACAGCTCTCCCAAGAATACCTGCCTGTTGCGAGTTTCTGTCTTTTCCAAGTGTTCTGATTAAGCAATACTGTCTTGCTCGTAAAGGGCAGCTTCTTAATATTTTTTTACTCTAGAATACCTTAAAATGCAAACCCACTGGCAGTTATGAACAAAAGTATCCAACTTGCTTTTACTACCCAAAAGCCCATTCACACACAAATGACTTGCAGTATTACTTGAAATTCTGCCCCCAAATATAACCTGAAACAGCTAAGGTATACTTTCAAGTAAATACTTTCCTTTAGGAATGTAAATAGTCTGTTAATAAAGAAAAAAAAAAACCAAACCCAGATTCAGTAAAGAAAGTAAAAGAATCAGACATATCTGCTACACAAAATTCTTCTTATAGAAAGGACATTGACAAAGCAATGTCATGGCTGGCCAATGCTATATTCAGAACATAATTTTTAATTACACTGAAATCTTTAAGAGGGATAAAACTAGAACAATATCTCATTTTGATATGGTGGTGAATGCAACAGTACACAGGCTGCTTGTTTCAATCGTTCCGCAGTGAAGCATGGGTTTGCCTAACATCAAATCTATATGACAGTCTGGAATTGGTCCAGGGTGGATTTTTGAAGGATGTTTTCCCTTCTTTGAATTTCATTTTAAAAATAAAGAGTTCACGGTACAAGCAAACATTTCATAATTCCTCCTAACTTCTTCTGCAAATTAGTTTGTATTTTTTAGCATTAAAATGAAAGACGATGATAAAACACATTAAAATACAATACATTCATCTACCAGGGAGCCCAGAGTAAACTTTATTTCCTTGAAAACCATGGGAGAAGTTTACTGAATGCATAGAGACTTGCTCAAATAAGATCCAATAAACAAGACAGGCTGGTCATGAGGATAAACTATATATTTAAAATCTCATCAACTAACTCACTTAGATGTACTTTCATAACTTGCTGCTACAGGGAAACTCTAAGGAAAGACGGAAGAGAGAAGTCTGTGGCACCCCAAGCAGTCACGCAAACTGCTTATACCTTAGGCTAGCCCTGGAAATAACAGCAAGTTATGGACACGTTTTAGGAACACCAGTTACAGCCTTTTAAAATGTGAAACTCGGCAGAGATGCTATTCCTCCTCATGGAAGACCACGGACTTGCTTTAGTGAAGTAAAAGGATTACTTTACTCCTCCTTTACTAAAAATACTCCCTAACATAAACCAGTTTTTTTTTAAAGGGGAATAATATGGTAGGCTTCAAAATTTAAACGCCCGAAATGCTGCAGTAGTGATACCATTTATGAACAAATTTTCAACAGTTAGGTAGCTAGAAATCTCCCAGGAAGACAGAGTGCAATAGTTATCACCGAGGTATGACAAGGATGAATGTTGATTCTTGGGGTAAATCTGAAAGACGACCAAAGTTAAGAAAGGCTTTTTCACAGTACAGAGAACTTATGATCAGAACTAGTCACTGTACCATATCACGTAAGGGGGAAAGAAGCCAATTTATTCTGGTTTTACAGTATACAGGGAATTCAGTTAACTAACAGTGCAGCTGAGACTTTAAAATTATTAATATTTTAAAGGAGGGATATATTCAATTTTATAAATAAGCATGACCCTCAGTCATCACAACGGTTTAAAGTAGGAAACGTACTACCTTCACTGCTAGGAAATTCATACACAAGAAACTGCAGGCATGTGTACACAAAGATACTTACAGACAAACAAAATACACAAAGAAATGTCATTATAGAGTGAAAGGTGTCAAAAGCAATATTCTAGTCTGCCATTTAGCCACATCCACACTCTGCTAAATATCACGATAAGAGGATTTTTCCATTCTCTTTCAAAAAATGTTTTTACAGATTTGGACAATGGAAAAATTCTGTAAACAAATATGTGCTCTGTCACAGCTTCATGGGAATTTTTATAATATAAAAACCCTAAACCTCCCAAGACCCCTCTAAAAAGTACAAGATATTTTTATAAACTATTCATACTCCTCTCTCTCTCTCACCTCACTTCAATTTATTAAACACTTCCTTCTCTTAACAGTTTCTCCAGGACAACAGTAAATACAACTGCTTACACTAAAGCAATTACTTACACTCTATATTTATCAAAAATTCAGTAACACTTCAGATGCTTTTTAAAATCTTCTTCCTCTGAAAACCAATTATGTGTCACTTGTGCTTATTTATTTTACTTTTCAGGTACAGCAGCATTTTTTTTTCCCCAGGAAACCTGTCAGTTATGGAGAAATTACAACTAAGTTTATTCAATTTTTCAATACAGTCAAATGGGAATTTAGCTGATTAGTGTTATAAATTTCATGTAGGACAAAAAGCCAGTAAACTTTTTAACACAAACAAAGAAGCCTGGGAAGAAAAGTTAGCATTTCTAAGTGGCAATTCCAAACTCCATCTATTCTGCCAAACGTTCTGGAAAGACTACTTCGTCAACACAACCAGTTTATAACAGAAACAAAACCTCCAGTAAAAATTAAGCCAAGATTTTCAAGCCAGAGCAAATGTTTTAGCTCCTGTGCTAGAATAGCTTGGATAGCTTTCACTCACACAGTGACAGCTTTGTAATGGAACACCAGAAAGGCGCTGGGGTCTTCCTCCTCTACATGAGTGAGGAGGAAATTCCCAAAAAAGCTGTTAAACAATATTAATCTGGCTTCAGTCAATTGTGTCCAGAACTAGCACAAATGGCAAATGGTATGTAAGAGATTATGGTGTATAAGAAAACAAACCTAACCCTACATCGCCTCCAAAAGGAGCTTATTGTACATTTTTAAGGAGGTAAAAAAAGCTTTCTATCACTACCACTTAGAACATATATATCAAAACAGCAAATCAGTTGAAGCCAGAACCAGCAGACATTTGAAACCTGTACAACAGATCTAAACAAGTTATTTGGTCATTTTTGGTCAACACGGTATAACACTGAAAATCCTAGTTAGTGATTTTATAGATTCTACAGGAAGATACAGTTTAAACATTCACCAAGTAATCTTTCGGTCCAATTCTGGTTTAAGTCCTGCAGTCTTTACTCAACACAAATTCCTGTGAGTTTTATGAAAATAATCTGGACTGATTTCTTCTTTTATCTATTAAACACATATGTGATATCTCCACTGTCTTGTAAGCAACTAAACAAAATACCAAATCCTGCCTTCTTGTGCAAGTATGTACTCCCATTGAATTTAACTAAAAGATATGAAGCACAATTTATATATACTAAGATGAAAAATTCTAAAATAAATCAAAGCAGCAGCAGATGCAGTTACATTGAAAATAAATATTCAGTATTCATTGTTAATGTGAAATTCAGAATTCTTCCTTCAGTTATTTTTCTCAATGTATTAAGTTTCTTTCTTTATAAAGATAACAGCTGTTCTAACCTGTATCATGCTATAATACGTCCCTGGAGACAGAGAAAAGCCAGTAGCGCCGAGACAAGCTATTCAGACTTTCACCCCAAATTTTTGGTTAAAAGCATAATTAACTTCTGTTCTAAGACATGAACAGAGTTCTCCTCTCCTTCCCCCTTCCCCTCTTAAGAAATTTTAACTTAGCACTGCTGCCATCTGCTGAAAGCACACTGAGTCAGGCACTCATGGTAAACAAAGACCTCGTATTTTTTATGACACAAACATGGAGGAGAAAAAGCAACATGCTTAACACATGGTTTGGTCAATTATAGATACTTTAACAATACAATGAACCAGACAGTAACTGCACAGCAAAGCAGCTTTCATCTTTAAAGATTTCCATTATTTAGCTATTATTAAATTTTGGCGACTCTCATAATTTGTTATAAAAGGTAAACGTTGCATTTAATATTAAAGGGACTTTGAGTTAATATAGTCCAGTTATTCAAGATTTACTACAGGCAGAAAACTGTGATCAATGTATTTACCTTTAGTTTTTTTCACGTAACACAGAATAGCATTAAGGACTACATTTCACTTCCTTTCTGAGATTATCCCTCTAGGACTAGTCCCCTAAATCAGGGCAGATTATTTGTTCAGTACTGACGCATAGATCCATAACAGTTAAAGTTAAAATGACAACTGATAATTTTCCAGCCCTTTAATTTCCTGCATTTCAAGACAGATAGCTGAACAGACTAACAGTTACCGGTTTTTGTAGGCGTCCAGCAACATAGAGGGTTTTCCAGTGAAGTAAATCATCAATCAGGGCATCAGTGCTAATTACACCGTATTTTATCATCTGGAAAAAAGCAAAATAAAGGCGTTGGAAAAACCAGACACCTGCACCATTTTCACTATGAAACTTACTACTTACTTACTATAACTATCATTAATTCTAAGTAACACACACCTCCAATAAAAAACTGAAAGCATAACATAAAAACATTTTAATTTTTTAATGAACACAGGAGGTAAAAAAAAAAAAATCGTATTTACATGCAAACTTCTGTTAAAAAAAAAGTGGAACAGGAAGATGCACAGAACCCTCAAAGATCCTTTCTAGAATCAAAGTTACAATAAAGTCACCCCAGGATCAATCACTAAAGCAAAAGACTTTAAATCCCAAAGAAACCTAGTCTAGACAGACATTGACACTGAAGAGATCTGAACATTAAAATACAACTGTTCATAAAAAGATTTTGGAAGGGTTACGATCAGTTTTGTACCAGCCAAATGTTACAACAGTCGGAATAATCCACAGTATCCTTCATGATATTGAAAACATTCAAGAAATAGTTTGTCAGAGATCTAAAATAAACAAAACTCCTAGACATTTATGTGTACCGTTATTGAGGGGTAGGGTGTGTATCAGGGAGCTTTTTCTTTTGCTCTTTGATGTTAGAAAACAAATTGTGATTTTGTAGTTCATTTTATGCAACTGGAAAAAAGATGAACCTTCAACAGTTTTGTTACCAATTTGCACTTCCTGAGTTTCCAAAGATTATCACCACAGCAAGGCAGCCAACTCCAGAATTTCTAGATGACAAAGGACCATAGTCTGTGATATGACTGAGTCATTACAGCATGAGATAAGAGCATAAAGAGCCAAGAAGAACAGAATTTCATAGCAAAGATCATTGGTCCTTAAAATAAAATCCAAAATCCCTTTTTACATAAAGTGAACAAGGTTTAAACCCCAGATTCTTGCCTCATACGGATGCCTTTAAACAAAACAGCAAGTACATAACAGACTGCTCACCTACATCTCCAACTTTCTATGAAAAATTCTGACATATACCCAACATTACTGCAACCATGCGTGCTCTGAGAAACTTCAGTTAGGTATATATTGCTCACATGACATTTTTCCATGACTGTCCTTCATTTCATTTCCCATCTTTCTTAAAAGAACTTACTTTCCCTATGTACAGTTTGTTACCACGTGGCAAAAGTGGTAACTCAAAATCAACACCAAGACAGACAGACACAGTGTTTCCCTCCCCTGACTTATCTATCTGCACTCCTTCTTACCAAACACAGTCTACACATAGATGCAGGAGTAGGACTTGCTGGACAAGTACTACTTTCCTAGAATTATTAATCATACTCAAGCTTCACAGGTCAGGATGTTAGCCATTAAACAACACAGATGTCAATTCCAACTTGCTATGTTAAATATTTGCATTTTATGTCAAACAAACAGTAAGAACCCACTTTGCTATTACTACATGGTCAACCGCTGAAATTAAGGCCCTGTTTCCCCACATGATACACTTTACAACCACCAAAACTGGCAGACAGCAAGTAATAAGGAAAATAAATTCAGTTTCTGAAGTGCTTTAGTTGTAAATTCCAAACATTGCTCACACTTTTAAAGTGCCAGAGCAGCTGCTCTGTTTGCTTTTTAATTAACGTGCTGTTTGTGAAACAGTTTGAGACATAAATATTGAAGATACCACAAGGACCAGTTACAATCTACAAGGATTTGCTTCCTGCACAGAAATCTGCTTTAAGCTAATCATTTCAATACTTCACACACAAACATTTAACTTAAATTTACTCAAACTACTTATACTTACCCTACCATTACATGGCACTAATGTATTGTAGTAAATCCCTGCTCCGTAACTCTGTATACTACTTATCTGTTTTGGCCCAAAAACTTTTAGGAAGGAATAATGACTCCTGTTCTTTAACAAGTTCATCATATGCCAGGTCACAGAATCATCAACAGCAAACACGAAGTCCAGCATATTGTTCTGTGGATAAGGAGAAAAGTATTGGGGTTTATATGTCAGGAAGCAAGCAATGTTGATCATATTAATCTAAGATATACATAGTACATATTTTTCACGAGTCAAAAAACCAAAACCAAAACACAAGTATTAATGTCAAATACAGTTTAAAGGTTCGGATGAAGTTCTACGTTTTCTAGTCAGTCTAGCAGAGATGGTCCAAAATTTTCCTGTCCTCCTGGTTAAGTGACCAACCTTCAACCCTCCAAAATCGGGGAGCACGTGATGAGATCTTCATCATCCTCGTTCACAGCTCAGCGTAACAGCTTGATTTAGTAACTGCTAATGAACAGGACTTTTGCTAATATGCGAGGCCATGAATTGGGAGATGTGGGCAGATAAAGTCAGCTTAGAGCTGGCAGCAAGAAACTGTACTTCTAGTGTATTCACTTGCTTTTGTCAACAAAACAATCCAAACTCCAAAGACTTGTAGCATACAACGCATGCCCTGCTCTTCTGAAGACATCAGTCCACACGCTCCCTGCACACAGACTAGCTGACGGTTTACAACTCATACCTACAGCAAATTAATATTTGGAGTGACACTGCTTCAAATTCATCAGGCCTACCTCTCTCTCCGGCTTACTAATTCTGGGCTGCATCTTAGCTAATCAGTTAGTACTCCTAAAAAGATAGTCTGTTAGCTACTTTTTTTTCCCCCATTCTTTTGTGTAAGGATGAGATGCTGTTAGAGCTCCCAGATTCTTATTATCCTCTGTTTTTCTCTCTTCAGAAAGGAAAATGAGACCCATTCAAAATCGCATTTGCGGGGAGTGCTTAACAGGCAAGCCATAATGAGCAATACTGCCTAATAACAATTTTTAAAAGGTCGGACACATACACACAAAAATAGAAAATCATTATTTCCAAGCAGCCTGACCGCCAAACGATGAGGAAGCGCCAAGAACGCCACTGAAGTGTGGCAATGTGTTTTGCTTAAGTTACCCTCACACGGTGCACAGCAAACAGACCGTTTGGGCAAGCTGTTACTCTTTTTTAAAACCCACAGTAAATAGCCTGTGACGCACAGCTCGCAGACACAGGCTAAAGGGGCACCTGAACCACACACGATTATAAAGCGACTGTCAGGGACCCCCCCGGAGGCCGCCCGGACGCTCAGCAGAGCCTGGCGCTCTACTTCGGCACGGACCGGGGCACCTGCCCCGCCAGCTCCCTGTTTGGTAGGGGGGCGGGGGGGGTTCGCCCCTCGTCGTGCACAGGCCACAACCACGGCGCCAGAGGCAGCTCCAGGTAAGGCACTGCGCCACCTCCGCGCCGGTAACCGAAACGCAAAAGGCCCACGGCC